CCTAACTTCAATCCAACCACCATCCTCCGTCGTAACCCACTCTGGCTCGTCTCCGGCGAGTTTCATGATCTGTTCAGACGGATGTTGAAGAAACGGATGTTGAAGCAATTCTTCAAAAAGTCTTTACCTTTCTCCGATAAACACTCAGGGAATCTCCGGTGACTCACCGGTGAAACCAATCTTGTAAATCGCTGCAACGACGTCGTTTAACTCCGGCTAAGGACTTAACCCAGTGGCCTCTCTCTTTCTCTCTACGAAGAACGCGACTCGCCTCCTCTCCTCTGTGTATAAACCCTTTTTTTTTCTTTTTCTAGATGCAAAAACGACGCCCATTTTGTGTTAAACCAATCAACAAACCAATTGATTTTGGTAACTTTAAACCGAATTGAACCCCGTTAGCCACCTGTAATCCACGTCACCATCTATTTAACAGATAACATAACATATTCCGTCTGCGGTTTGTGTAAATTGACCAAGTTGTAATAGGTTATGGGAGAAATTCAAAATTATAGAAAGTTCATGGGGGGTTTTGGCCTATCTTGATAGATCACGTATAAACAAACAGCACCTCGTAAGTTCACGAGGGAATTGGTCTTTTTCCCACTCCTTTTACCCAAAAGATCTTGGCTTTTTAACAGATTTTCAAATATTCATCTCTCTCTGCTTGCCAGTTTAGAGCCTACTCTGTATCAAGACCCCAAGTTCGAGTCCAACAAGCATATAAGGATGTCACTGCCTCTAGCTTTAACGTTCGATTATGTCCTGCAATAAGGTGTTTGAGTGGATCATGGTTTTCTGGCTGAGACAAAACATCAGTGAACTCCACATGGAAGAATCAGGGACAATACTTTTCTCCACCATTCGTGAGAAAAGCAACCAAGCGTTCTGAAAATCACCTTTCGAGCACAATTCTTCGAGCAAGGGATTGTAGCTTTCTCCATCAGGTATGCAACCTCTTTCAGCCATGTCTTCCACAAACTTGATGCCACTCGTGACTCTGTCTTGCTTACAGAGCCCGATAATCACAGCATTGAATGTTGATGATCGAAGC